CTGGAAGGTTGCCCCGGCGTTTTCTAGGTCTGTCCTTCCCCAGCAGGACTCTGACAGGTGTTTTCCTCTTTCGTCCCCAATGTCCATGGAGACCTCTGTCCTTCCTGGACCATGGGACACGGGATGGGAAACACCTTTCCCTCCCTGTAGAAACAGGCTGGTGGTGCTCTACATAGCAAAGCGAGTTCACGTCTGAGAGATGCTGGTTCTGCTGGGACAGGCGGGAAACGAGCAGTTTCTGGCTCAGTGACTGCCTGCAGCAGGATGGCAGAGGGAACAGCTCTGGAGAGGTCTCAGAGCTGAGCCAAATGGCTGTCAGGGAGGAATAGTCCCACGGGGAGATGCCCGGGCTGGTAAAGTGTGGAGCCCAGAGGGGTGCTGCTCTGCCTTTGAAGTATATCCACAGTCAGGCCTTGGCAATTATTCCCATCCCCAGGCTGCCAATTTATCTTATGTTTTGGTGCAGCTGGTGCCCTTTTCTCCACCTCGGATCCACTACGTCATGAATGAATTGTTTCTGAAGACATTTTTTGCTGATGGAGGCCGTGCTTGGTTGGACGTGTTGTAAGTAGGAGCCCTCTGGCAGCAGTGCTGTAAGACACCTCCATCCCCATGCCCATGAGCACAACACACAGGCAAAACGAGCCCACCTCTCCCACCCTAAACAGGAGATACTCGGGTTTCTGAGAAAGGGCTTCTCTGGCATGATCCCCTCCTCTTGTCATCTCTCAGCACAGGAGGTACTGTAGATCCAAACTTGAAATCACAGGTGAATTGCTGCAAGATCCCGAAGCTGGGGAAGAAGCTGCTGGCTCTGATTCTTAAACCTCTGGTGAGTCCCTGGCCTCAGGCCCAAGGCAGAGTGGTGTCAGCAAGGCAGCAGCGCCCAGTTTCCTACAGATTCATGCATTGGGATTACTGCAGCACAGGGACTTGAGGTTGAAGCTCTGTCCCTGTGTTGGAGGCCTCCCAAAGATCACACCTTCACGGGGACTCCTGGTCATTAATAAGGGCTGGCCCTCACTGTAGCCCTCTCACTAGCTGAGCATCCTTTTATAGGTCTTCTCTCCTCCACCCTCCATTTTCTCTGCCTCTCTGTCCAGTTGGTTTGTTCTCAGCTGACAGGATCAAAAAGGTGAGAGTGGGAGTGGGAGGCATTCAAAGTGCTTGTAGACGTCTTGTTTCTGTGAGGATACCAAACTAAAAAATGTTTGATTTATCAAAAATAATGAAAGGCAACTTGATTCAAGTCAGTGCATTCCTTTGTGAGCAGGAAATATTGGGCTGCAAGAAACAAATTGGGAACCAACAACCAGAAGATGGAAGCAAAGTAAATTCAGAACCACGAGGAACATTTTTAATCGTCGCCATTCACCCTCAGTGCAGCATTCCCGGGGATGGAGGCAGGACAGGACCGGGGGTTTCCCAGGGTGGCACAAGTTACTGCACTCCCATGTCACGTCCCTAACAGGAACCTCTTGCCTTTCCAGTTTCCCCGCCTGGCTGACTACCTGAGTGCCTTGGGTGGAATGAGGTAAGATGGCATCATCCCTAGGGATGTCCATGAACACGAACGGTACCTTCTCCTCTAAGTGTCCATGGTGGGGGGAACTGGACTCATGACCTGCTCTCTGCAGGGGTCGTCCCTCCATCCTGGAGGTGGCTTCGGGAACACATCTCCCCAGGGTTGCGCTGCCCCTAGTGTTACCCCGCAAGGATTGAGGGATTTGGGTGGATAACGTCACGCGGGAAGCCTGTGGTGGATATGAGTACTGAATCCAGGCTCACGAGAGAAACCTTCTCTCTTCCAGACATTTGTTGCTTAACTGCTTTGGCCAAATGCCAAAGGGAAACTTTAGTCAAATTGTGAAAGATGTATCATTTTAAGTAATTGCTGAAATCACCGGAGTTTATCAACCTGGAGGATTATTTAAGCAATTCCTCCTCCTCTTAAAGTTTAAAAATATTGCTACAATTTCCACTTGCAGGTCAGTGAAGGAGATGTGGAATCATCACCATCAAATAGAGGTACGTTTTGAGGACTTTTCTCTCTGGCATCCTGCTACAAGTTGAGGCTTTACGGCAAGTGCCGGGTTGGAGGGTCATCAGTTAGGAAAGGGGTCATGTAGGGGGGTGCTGGGGAGGAGACAAGATGGGGGGAAAGGCACAAAAGAGACAGGAATGGGGCACATGGGCTTTTGGCTCAACCCAGCCAGGACTTTATTGGTTGCCCACAGTGCTCATTCCCAAATGCCCATGTTCGACGGTCCCAGCGCAACAAAGGCTGTCCTGGGAGCGGGCACAGGTAAAGAGGGACCTTCCCGGTTCCTGGCCACAGGCTGGCCACGTGCTGTGGAGGCCGACACTTACACGCTCCCCTGCTTCTTCCCTTGAGCACGGCTGCCTGCTGCTGCCTCCTTGGCCATGCCAGAGCCTGGTGCATACCCTGGAGAAGTCAAGATGCTCCAGGTGTGGATATGGCCTCCATGTGGTCTCCTCTCTCCTCCCCAAGGCGTACCGCACCGAGTTCATCGCCCGGTGGAGGGAACTCCGGCTGGACGTTGTGCTGTGCCCTGTCCTGGGGCCCGCCTTCACCACGGGATACCCCGGGAAACTCCTCAGTAAGTGAGTCTGGGACATGCCCGGGAGAACAGAGGACCACAGTGGTTGTGACTAGAAAGGAACATCCACTACCATGAAGCTTCTCCACCCACCTAAGCATTTTATTGGCATTAAGAAGGGAAAATAACTACCATAAGTCTCTCTGAGCAGATGGAGACAGACACATGTATGAAGTGATCTGATGGCAGTTGTTTCTTGCAGTAGAACTTGTACCTGCAGATGACCAGCTCTGTGAAATCTCTCCTCCCAGCAGCAGCTGGTTCTCAGGGGCTTCAGTGAACATGTAATGTGTAAGTTTGAAGGAAGACAGGAGGCTGTGACTACCTGCATTCTCTCTTCTGCTTCTCTCAGCTGCCATCTCCTCCACGATGCTCTACAATGTCTTGAACTTCCCTGCTGGGGTTGTACGGGTCAGCACGGTGACAGAGGCGGATGAGGAAGAGCTAAAGCTTTACCGAGGATGCTGTGATGACCCCTGGGACCGGACGCTGAAACAGGTATGTGACAAGGAAAGTGGTGGAGCAGAGACTGACGATGGATGTTCAAGTATTAGTTTCACAGATACCAGAGGCTCTTAAATGTCTCCATCAATGTGGGCACAGGGCAAAAAAATCCCCACCTCTTCTTTATATATCTCACAAATCCCTTTTCTCCCAAGCCCCAAAAAACTAAATCACTAAGGCTTGGGGAGGGACTGGGGGAGCACCCCCAAACTGGATTATAGGCTGAAACCAGAAGGGAGCCATGTGGCTCCTTTTGAGTAGGTCCTTGTGACAGCCACAGCCCACAGTGCTGCCCAGCACTTTCCTCCTGCTCCATGACCCCTTCACCAGGCCCAGGCTGTCACCGGAGCATGGATCAGGAATGAGGATGCTGAAGGAAAAGGGAGCTGGCTGTGGGGGTGGTCTCAAACAGGCTGCCCAAGATTTGGCAACCATTTCTATCACAAGAACAGCAAGAGCGTTCCCTCTGCCCCAGGGCACTAATGCTGCTGGAATGGCAGGGCTCAGCCTCCACCCCCTCTCCGGGACGA